CCTCAAGCAATCCAAACTCATGACCTCAAGCAATCCTCTCGCCTCAGTCTCCCAAAGTGTTGGGATTACAGGTGTGAGCCACTGTGCCTGGCCAGGTGTGGGTTTTGAAGTTTGAGTGGTATATAATACAAAGTGAAGGATTCATCTTACTCTTTGCTGTGGGCTACAGGGAAAGCACTCAGATAAGTTGTTCTCACTGGGATTCATGAATGCCAGAGAATTGGCAAGTATTTAAATATCTTATGAGTTATGAGCAATAAATTGGTTTATATTGAGTGGCTGATAGATATTATAACTCAAAATTAAATATGTACATTAAATTTACTAAATTCTAATAAGATACATATTAGCATAATGGAACATTTTAAAACAATTACCAAACTAAGCCATGCTGACAGAATTAGGAAGGAAATGGTACATTTAGGTTAATGCAAATTAACTCAGTCCTTTTAAGAGCACCATGTTATTGAGAGCTACAAAACTCTTCATATACTTTGACCAAGCAGTCTCATTCTTGAGAAATTCATTCATTGAAATAAAAAAGAAACCCTAAGTATATAAATATGAAAGCATTCAATTTAATGCTCCTCTCTCTTCCTCCTCCCTCCTCTTCCTCTCCTCCTCCTCCTCCTTCTTTCCCCTTCCTCCTCCTTCTCCTCCCACCTCTTCCTCTTCTTATTCCTCCTCTCCTCCTCCTTCTTCTTATCCCCTTCCTCCTCCTTGTCCTCTTCTCCCTCTTCCTCCCTCCCCCTCTTCCTTCTCTCCCTCCTCTTCCTCGTTCTTCTTCTCTTCCTCCTCCTCCTCCCCGCACTGTCACCCAAGCTGGGGTGCAGTGCAGCTCACTGCAACCTCAACCTCTTGGTCTCAAGCTGTCTTCCCACCTCAGCCTCCTGAGTAGCTGGGAATACAGGCATGCACCACCATGCCTTACTAACGTTTTGTATTTTTTTTTGTAGAGATGGGATTTTGCCATGTTGCCCAGGCTGGTCTCAAACTCCTGGACTCAAATGATCTGCCTGCCTTGGCCTCCCAAAGCACTGGGATTAAGGCCTGAGCCACTGTGCTGGACTTTTAATGCTGTTCTTAATATAAGAAGCTGTCAATAGCTATTCCCATTAAGAGGGGGATGGTTAAATGAACTGTAGTTCACTAACTGAATAGAACATTAACTATTATAATCCCGTGGTACGAACATTGTAACTAGGAAGATGTACACATATTTCTCTGTGGCTGGTGCTTAGTAATGAAAGGGAATGATAAAAGCACATGTTCACCATGATTATGACTATGTGTATGTATAGTCATGCATTCATTCTAGCAATTGTTTTGATCACTGATTATATAACAGGTGTTGGTGCCACGTATAGGAAGCATACTGAGGAAGCAATATAGTTTCTGCTCTCACTGAGGGTCAGTCAGCCGGAAGGTGGCCATGGGAACAAATGGAAAAGTACAGAAATTCACAAATCTACTATTGGAGGACAGTTAGGCAAAGATGACAGGAAGGCTTTGTAAAGGAGCTAAGATATATCTACAGTGGAGAAATCACTTGTATAAGGGTGGAGGTACTAGAAGGTACTTAAAAATTCTTAATGTCTTTATTGAACTATAATTCTTATACCTTAAACATGCTCATTTAAAATATACACTTTAATACTGTTTGCTATACTCATGGAGTTTAATACAACCATCACTGAAATCTAAGTAGAACATTTTCGTCTTCCCAAGGAGCACCACATTTTTGCTCTATTAAATTTCTCCCAGTGTTAAATGTTTTTCCAATAAGGAACTAAGGTGTAGAGACAGAAACCTCTGATGTCTGGCCACGACAGGGAAGCTTCTGTCACATGTGAAATAAACCGTAAGTATGCCATCATGTCTTTCATTTTTAATTTTATTAGTGACAAGGTAAATAGGTACATGAAAATCTTCACAGATATCTACACATGTATTTAAATAAAACAAGAGTTGAGTTCTAAGAATAGAGTTTCAGTGGTGACTAGTACATGTTATTTTTTAATTTACTGTAGAAAAATCTCCAAGTTTATAAAACGTAATTTGCCCCTATTCTTGTGTTTTAAAAACCCAGCTGCATGAATTTAAAATGGGAATTATTTGAAGAGAAATACAGATAGACCTTAATAGGAGCACAGCATTTTATGAATTGTGAAAGCAATCGGCAATGCTCTAACTAGAAGCAGATACACTCAGTGTGTTGTCAGTGTCTTTGGGCAGAACTGATTGCTGGAAGGTTCAGCAGACCTCAGTTTCCTTCCTTCCTCCATTTGCTTCCATATTCTTTTTTTCCTTTGAGGCAGAGTCTTGCTCTGTTGCCCAGGCTGGTGTGCAATAATGTGATCTCAGCTCACTGCAACCTCTGCCTCCCAGGTTCAAGTGATTCTTCTTGCCTCAGCCTCCAGGTAGCTAGGATTACAGGTGCCCGCCACCATACCTGGCTAATTTTGTATTTTTAGGAGAGATGGGGTTTCACCATGTTGGCCAGGCAGGTCTCAAACTCCTGACCGCAGGTGATCCACTCGCCTTGGCCTCCCAAAGTGCTGGGGTTACAGGCGTGAGCCACTGTGACCGGCCTTTGCTTCCATATTCGAAGGGGCACAGGGCCCCTGTGTGCATATGCATGTGAGTAATGGCCCTCTGCAATTCCCATAGGCAGCAGTGCCTGTGGGCAGGTGGAAGGTGCTTGTCTCTCCAAGAAGGGACCATCTTAGCTGAGACTCTGGGATGGTGCAATTCCCTTGGAGCCCTCATGCCTTGCTTCGTTCTGGGTCTCAGTCTTCCTCCTGCTGTCTCTAGTTCCTTCCGGAAGAGGCATAAACTATCTCAACAGGACTCTGTTTATGTAGCCCTAAGAGTTCTCATTTCCTTCACAAATATTGGCTTAAAGACAAGGGGTGCATTTTTTTCAGGGACCTTTTTAGGACCTCACATCTGAGGAGCCAGGATCACAAGAGTTAGGGCATTACCTGGGGACAGAGAGAGCTGTCTGGCATCACTCACATCATATCCTATAGAAAGCCACCTATTTGTAACACCGGCGCTACCTGGAGGACTAACACCAAAGACCCCCAGAGGCTGCTGTGGACCCCTTAAATTCTTTGAGGCAAGTTCAGTGCTTATCCATAGCCACACAAACCAGCCTTGAGCTCCTGACAGACCCAAAACTGCTACCAGGACAGTATTCAATTCACAGGCAGGAAGAGCATGAACTGCAACAGCGCGCTCCTCCATGTGCCTTTGATTTGCTCCTCAATGAAGTTCTGCAGCTGTGGCCAAATGGCTCCGCTCCAGGTTATGGCATGACATAAAATTTAATGTCTGTGAGCTTGGCTCATCCTTCAAATAAAGCGTGATTGTTGAAATCGGGACACAAATTTTTCCAACAGCTTTGTAAACTAAAGGATTTGGGTCAGCTTATTCTATCATACTGAACATTTAGGAAATTAATTTTAAAAGATAACGCCAGTGTAAACATGCTTCAGATACATAGGTCTATAAAATATTGCACATAAAAATTCATTCAGTATTTCTTCATAATAATTTCTCATTATTACAAAAAGGATACAAAATTGTGCAGACTGTAAATTTGGCTTGTCAGTTTTACATCAAAAATGGTATTACACAATTATGAATTATTTACAAGAGTTTTAAACATAAAGAATTTGTGATGGTTAAATTCAAGATGATGGGAAAATAGCTTAAATAAAAGATTCTCCAAAGTTATGTACTATAAAGATTAGCAGTAAAAATAAGTAATAAAGTTGGAATAAGAAATTTTGAATAAAATCTTTAGGAATCATTTTTCCCAGTTTGACTCATACCTGTATAATTTTATATTTTCATCTAAGTTATGTTCAACATGCTTTCTGTGTGTATACAGGTACAAGGCATAGCAGGAAAATAGGTACTTAATCCCCAAACTAAATATCTATAAGAAGTGGTGCTTCTTATAGATATTAAAAATAAGGTTTACCCATATTGTTAAATTGCTTTTTAATTAATGAACTCTAGACATTTTACCATTCGTTACTTTTAAACACTCCAAAGGGTAGAGAGTACCTTGAAATTCATGTATTAACTAAGTTAATGGAAAGATATACAAGGAAACATAAATGCAACATCTTGCAAAGCTAAATTAAGCAGATGTGAGTCCCTGGATAATGCGAGTGAATGGAGTTTCAGATCGAAGGCAGCAAGATATTAAATAGAACTGATTCCTGATGTCAATCTTCCTTTCCTTAGCACTGCCTAAATTCTGAAGAAGCTTTGCTAAATGAATTATCTGCACATGGTGGTTCTTAGGAGGAAACTCAGTGGGTGATTTTGAAAACTAGCTAACCAAATCTTAATTTCCAAATCCTAGATGACCAGATTCTCAACCTAGAGACATGGAAAATAAATAAATAAACTGTAACTCTCACTCACGAAGATTATTTTTGTCATTTCAAAAGTACTTTCACAGTACCAACAACATATTGCTTGTCTCCCTGAGCCATAATGTCATTAGAAATGTTTCTTTTCCATAGGGAGGTGTCAGATGTTCCATTGGATACAGTAGTGTTGGATGGTTTGGTCTCGGTTCTAAGTTCTATAGTAATTCAGTCATTTCACCTTAGTTCACCTTCTAAATACTATAGTGATTCAGACATTTCATCTCTGCAACTTAAGTTGGATTGATCTGGACTGCAACTTATGTGCCCATACCCATTTCAAAGTGTCTGCCAAATACAGAACGATTAAAGCAAAGTAAATCTTCCACAATTGCTGATGGCTTCTCCAGTGTTGGTGATTCCTTTTCCAGCAGGCTCATGGGGCACCCATGATAATTTCTCCAAAGTGTGATGTAGATGAGGTGATGTTTTCAGGGTCCCCTACATTTCCTAGGTCACTGTCAGGTACAGGAAAGCCTTGACTTTTAGCCCTCATGTTCTTTCTTTTTCTTTGAACAGTACCAGTGTTTGAGATCTTTGGTCTTTTTTTTCCTTGTCATGCCTCAGAGGTCTTGTCATTTGTCAGCTGTTGCTTGTCGGTCATGTCCTCCTGAGGAGGTCTGGCTCTGTCAAAGAATCCACACTACAAAGAGAAAGATGGGCTATAAAAATCAAATCATTCTGGGAACCTGTCAAACCCTTCATTCAATGAATTTTCAATTCATGTATGTATGTATGTACGAATGAAACAGTCTTGCTCTCTGTCCCCCAGGGTGGAGTGCAGTGGTACAATCTCAGCTCACCGCAACCCCCACCTTCTGGGTTCAAGCGATTCTTCTGCCTCAGACTCCCAAGTAGCCGGGATTACAAGCACGCGACCACCACACCTGGCTACTTTTTGTATTTTTAGGAGAGAGAGGGTTTTGTCATGTTGGCCAGGCTGGTGCACATTCCTGACCTCAAGTGATTCACCCACCTTGGCTTCCCCAAGTGTTGGGATTATAGGTGTGAGCCACTGCACCTAACCCTTTATATATTTTGGAAGGAGATGGGAGCGCTGCACATATGATCAGACCATTTCTCCCAATTAGGAGATGACAGCAGAGTGTTTGTTACTTGTAGAGAGGAATTTATTGCATAGGGCAAGGTGAGCAGGAGGGCAGAGCACTTACGCCCTTTCTCCCGCCCTGTAGTGGGAGTAGAAGATGTCCCTCTTTGGATATTTTCCTGAGATCATAGCAATATGTCCCAAGGATTTCCCGCATGCTTAGTGGAGCAGAAGCACTAACTGTTGATCCGCAAAGCAAGACTGTATAAGTATATTGCTGGCTGCTTTATATCCGGGATGGATTATAGGAAGAAGTGAAGAGATGGCTGCATATCCCTTGGTGCTTGGTGGAACATAGAGCATATATAGAAGGAGAGTCTATTTGTCATTTATTTCAGTGCCATAACCACGTCGGCACAGAATCTTAGTGACTTTCCAAAGATTAGTCAGCAACTCAGGAAGAGGTGACTCTAGAATTTTCCTCCTCTTCAGTGTCAAATTAATACTTTGCCAGTTAAATTATATCTTTTCATAGAAACCTGGAGCCTCAATTCTTACTTACGTTTCTCATGTTGGAAATCAATTAACTGGTTTTGGCTTATAGACATTGAATCATCTGTCTTTCCCAGAGCTACTGGAATATTCTGTCAATTGGCACACATGACTGTGTCTTATATTCACTGGAAATACAGTTACTATGAGTGACAGAACAATACAAAAGTCCATTCTAAAGGTATACCTTAGACCACATGAGTGTAGGATGGCACAAACAGCTGATAATGATCAGAAACACTATTCCTTAACTCAAAGCCAAGGTTTTCTCAGTTTATAAGTCTATTAGTCAGGCTGCATATTGTTTCAAAATAAAAACGCACTATGATTTTAGGGAACACACCATAGTTATCAAAGATGTGATGGGGTTACTCTTACAGTCATTTAACTGGGATATCATTTCCATTTTGGAATGGAAGGCTCTGTGAAACTTGGCATTTGTTTAGGTTGGTGGGCCAGAAATTAATTCCTCTTGTGGACTTTTAGAACAAACCTCAGTAAAACACATCAAAGACTAACTTCAGGCTTCCTAGTGGAGACAAACTAATTGGCAAGATTAAAAACCAACTCCAAGCATTCTATAACATGCATGATCTATTTGGCCTCATTAATAGTTGAAATGAAAAATCAGAATTGACCTATATTAATTAAATCTCTGTAGAGTGCTTATAAAAAAAATCTCAAAGGATTGATGATCGGGCCATGTCAATAAAAAGCTTATGATCTTGGTTAATTAAACAAGAAAAAGAAGTCTTCATTAGAATATTATCACTCGAAGCATATTGGAAAGAAGATCACAGGTCTTAGTTAATACAGTCCAACTCTCTCTATATTTATTTACAAGAAATCTGAAGATGAAAGCAACATTAAGCACACCCAGTCATCTTAAATGTCAGCTACACAAACATTAAGTATGCCAAAGCAAACAAGACATGATTTTTCCTTTATAGCCTTCAGACTGTTCAAAATTTCCAAAAATGCCTCTACAATTGTCTTTTAAAGTCCCTAACCATATCCCTCTAAATTCCCTCGATAGCTCCTCTAGTTTAAAAGGAAAATAAAGTAAATCCACTTACCTTCCACAAAGCTAAGGTTAAAATGGCCAGAACCAATAATCCAAGAAGTATTGCTAGTATTATTACCCATAATGGGATTGAGAAGGAAACATTCGGGGTTGCCCAAATAATTGATGTCTTAATCTGAAATAGAAAACAAAGCAAATGAACTCTAATGGGGACACTGTGTGGTAAAACAAAATGGTAACTACCTATACAATATTGGAAGTTGATCTGAAAGATCCATATGACAACTGAAATCATCTAGGGGAGATCTGAGAGGTAGCACTTGAACATGAACTCTTAGAAGCTAGCATGTTCCAAGATCTGCCTAGTCCTGTGAAAGTCTAGAGATACTGGTGGGTGAGTGACTTCTAGCCACGGAAACCCTAGAATAGAATTGATTGGGTCAGGAATCAACAAGGTGGAAAGGAATGGCCTTAACTTGCACCAGACATTTTAATGGGAACAATGGCCAAAATAGACTTAATATAAAACGGAATGAGTCTGTCTACCATGTTTCTCCTTAGAACTCAGCTGGCCTCACTGAGAAAGAGGTAAGCTCGTGAACAACCATGAATCTTTGGATGTGCAAGAAAGGTAAAAATCATCTCATCTAATCCCTTCATTTTACAGAGGAGAAAATTAACTCCCATAGGGCCTAAGTAATTCATTCACACAATGAATTAGTGTCAGTACTAGGTCTCTTTATCCCTGGATTCTGTGCTCTGTCAATGAAGAATATCCCAGAGCATGAGGCTAGGCATCTTGTATTTTATGGAAGTAACCGCAGTGTGCAAAGCAAATGTTTAATTGTCCTGATGTGTTGGAGATGACTTTAATCCTAAATCCAAAGATCAGGCCAGCGTGGTGGCTTATTCCTGTAATCCTAGCACTTTGGGAGACAAAGGCAAGAGGATTGCTTGAGCTCAGGAGGTCAAGACCAGGCTTGGCAACATGGTGAAACTCCATCTCTATTAAAAATACAAAAAAATTAGCTGGGCATGGTCACACACACCTGTGATCCCAGTTACTCAGGAGGCTGAGGCACAAGAATTGTTTGAACCTGGGAGGCGGAGGTTGTAGTGAGCCAAGATCATGCCACTGCACTCCAGCTTGGGAGGCAGAGGTTCCAGTCAGCTGAGATCGTGCCACTGCACTCCAGCCTACACAACAGAGTGAGACTCTTTCACCCCCCACCAAAACAAACAAAAACAAAGATCAGATGGGGACTGGAGTCCATTTCATCCCTCACTATTGTAAGGGACCTTAGAGGAAAATGAGACCTTCCTAACCTGGTTACATGCTCAGTGTCTATGAACCACTCCCTCTGTGCGCAGAAGCACTTCTATTAGTCCTATGTTGGAGGCCTGTGCCTCCAGCGCCCAGACAGCAAAGAAGCTGCAGATGCCCAAAGAGAGACCCAGCCATGCTGCTAAAACCTTTTTGTCAAAGAAAAGAGCAATAAATTATTCTTAGATGCAGACGTTAATTCACTAAGGTAAGCATATCTGTTTTTGTCAGAGTGGCGAGCATTGCTTCCACTCAGTCTAAGGGCTCCTAGTTTTAAATGTATTTGTTGAAATGATCATGATTTCAATCCCGAAACACACTCAAGAACTCCAGGACGCATTCTATATACACCCATCAGGAGAGGCTGAGACTAATGACTAAGGTTGGCGGCTCTGAGATTTGCTCTGGCAGAAAATGTATGGGTGTTTTCACAGCCTGAACCCTGGCACTGAGCCCTAACCATGTTCACTTTGTTGCTTCTGTTTTCTTTTGTATATGTGTTTGTTTGTTTGAGATGGAGTCTCACTCTGTTGCCTAGGCTGGAGTGCAATGGCGTGATCTTGGCTCACTACAACTTCTGCCTCCCAGGTTCAAGCGATTCTCATGCCCCAGCCTCCCCAGTAGCTGGGATTATAAGCGTATGCCACCATACCCAGCTAATTTTTTTTTTTTATTTTTAGTAGAGATGGGGCATCACCATTCTGGCCAGGCTGGTGTAGAACTCCTGACCTCAATTGATCCATCCTCCTCAGCTTCCCAAAGTGCTGGGATTACAGGCGTGAGCCACTGCAACCAGCCGCTTCTGTTGTCTTAACTAGAGTTCAGCATCCTGATGGTGCTCTTCTCAGCTTGTCTTGGTTTTTATTGCTCCTTTCTTCTTGATCTGTGGCCCCCATGCAGCAGACACTGATGACTCAATTCACTTGATTATTCAGCCCCAAATGTTATTTATATCTACACTAATAAAGGAATTGACAGAGGAGTGAGACAGGGAGGGAGTCATTCCACCTTGACAGGAATGTGCCAGGGATGTTAGATGTTCTTCATGAGAAAAAGGCTGGCTTCAACCTACTCATTACATTCTCTTTCTTTGCCTGTTAACGTTCCTTGCTAGCATTATCCTTAATACATCTGACACATCAGTGTGAAGTATGACAGTCCATCACCACAGTGACATTACATACACCCTGCTAGCCACTGTTTAAGGATGAGACACGTGGTTCATATGTTGAAGAAACCTATTTCAAGGACCTGTCATGGTTTCAATGGCTGCCAAGATGCTATAGCCTAAGTCAGGCGTCCCCAAACTTTTTACACAGGGGGCCAGTTCACTGTCCCTCAGACCGTTGGAGGGCCGCCACATACTGTGCTCCTCTCACTGACCACCAATGAAAGAGGTGCCCCTTCCTGAAGTGCGGTGGGGGGGCCGGGTAAATGGCCTCGCATGCGGCCCGCGGGCTGTAGTTTGGGAACGCCTGGCCTAAGTAATTTATTCTGAAATAATCTAAGTAATGTATTCTGAAAGGATCTAATATTCACATCCTCATTCATACATGGAAGGTAAAAATAATGGATCTCGAGGTAGACAGTAGAATGATGGTTACCAAAAGCTGGGAAAGGGTGGGGAGGGCTTCATGAAGATAGAGGTTGGCTGACAAATGTTAAGTTAGGTAGAAGGGATGTTATAATGTTCAATAGCACAGTAGGGTGATTCTAATGAACAATAATTTATTATCTATTTCAAAATAGCTAGAAGAGATTTGAAATGTTCCCAACACAAAGAAACAATAAATGTTTGAGACAATAGCTATACTAAATTCCCTGATTTGATCACTACATTATGTGCGTGCTTTTCAAAATATCATGTGTACTCCACAAATATGTACAATTATGTATCAATTGAAAAGAATTCTTTGCATGTATACAGCTACATGAGCAAATCAAGAACTAGATTATTTCTCTTTGTACACCCTTCCTTACTTACATCTGATAACATGTATGAAGTCACTACTGAATCCTAACATTTTACTGTACTCAGAGAATGGGCATGAAATGATATTTCAAGATGAGCATAATATTCCTGGAAGCAGACTCACACAGTTTTGATAATGAGAATTTCAGAATTTTGGAAATGAAAGGGCAATAGTGGTCATCTACTTACAGGCCAATTACAATGACCCAGGAGAGAGAAATCTGGAGCCATGGAAAATTCTGAGGTTTCATGTAAATGCTAGTTCCTCATAAGCCCCAAGTTCACTGAGAACACAGTATAGTGTTAGTCCCTATTTTGAGCATATGTCAGAGCTCACCAAAATTTTCTAATAGGTAATTCTAATAGGTAATTCAGGGTGATACCTCCTGGTTTACCTAATTAATATCTCAAGGCCAGAAGCAGTGGGTCATGCCTATAATCCCAGCACTTTGGGAGGCCAAGATGGGTGATCACCTGAGGTCAGGAGTTTGAGACCAGGCTGGCCAACATGGTGAAACCCTGTCTCTATTAAAAATAAAAATTAGCTGGGCCTGGTGGCAGGTGCCTGTAGTCCCAGGTACTTGGGAGGCTGAGGTAGGAGAATCGTTTGAACCTGGGAGGCAGAGGTTGCAGAGAGCGTGCAACTTCATTCCAGCCTGGGCAACAGAGCCAGGCTGCATCTCAAAAAATAATAATAATAAAAATTAATATCTTAAGTTGCTGCCTACTATTTTGTGTTGAAAATAAAAAAGAGTTCAAGTTTTTTAAGTTAGAGAAAACACAAAACATGCTAAAGGAGTTGAAATAGCTGCTATAGGTTCTTTAATTGTTAGTTTAATAAAAAGAAATGGGATGCACTGAGTGGATGCCCATTGAATACTTTGCTCGGTGACTTTGCCACTTGGTTATTGCAGGTTTTGATATACCATCTACAAAACTGGCCTATCCATAGAAATAAGCAGAGAAGGTAGCTTACAAAGAGCTAATAAATACATTTGAAGTTTTTTTCTTTTTTTGGTAGCAGTGATGAAAAAGTACAATGAAAATGTGAATTTGATGAAGATACGCTTCTTAGGGTTTTTTGAAGCAGAGGAAAACTTTATCTACAGTTACAGAACCTGCTGGCTTTGTGTTTACATTTGCTTCCAAAGAGCCTGACAGCAAAGTCTTTAAAAGGTCTGTGGGGAGATGATTCCCATGCAGTGATCACAAATTAGAAAATTCTTTCAGTTCCCCAATTGTGAAATTCTCATCATCAAAACTATTGCCAGTCTGCTTCCAGTAACATTGTTTGTTTTAAAAAAAATACCGCTTCAGGCCAGGTGCAGTGGCTTGTGCCTATAATCCTAGCACTTTGGGAGGCTGCGATGGGTGGATCACTTGAAATCAGGAGTTCGAGACCAGTCTGGCCAACATGATAAAACCCCGTCTCTACTAAAAAATACAAAAAAAAAAAAAAAAATTAGCCAGGTGTGGTGGTGGTGGTACACACCTGTAGTACCAGCTACTCAGGAGGCTGAGGCAAGAGAATCACCTGAACCTGGGAGGCAGAGGTTGCAGTGAGCCAGGATTGCACCACTGAACTCCGGTCTGGGCGACAGAGCAAGACTGTGCCTCAAACAAACAAACAACCACTTCATACCCTTTCTCTGATGTTAGAATTATGCATGTCATATACACTTAAGATGTATGTATGTCATATACATTTCCTACAGGTCATCATTAGAGAGAATTCATTCATGCAATTTGTTAGAGGGAAGGAGTACAGAGAGTCTTAAAAGAAGGCAACCTCTGAGTGACTCTCCTGCCATGCCTGCTTTCTGCTTTCCTGGTCCTTTTACCTGTAGGATGTCCATGTTGTACTAAGACTGCCCAATCT